GGGTAATTCCTGAGCCGAGTCAGAAGTCATCCCTGAGCATTGCTGGGTGTGTCCCCAAAATGAAAAATCACTTGTGTCACTTGTCATCGCATTGATTATTGATCTGCTCAAGTGGGCGCCAGTAACGTCTTCGTCCATCCCTGTCGCGTGCGAGTGTAGCCCAGTGGCATCTGCTCACTCTAGGACCACGAAGAGTCTCAAACCATTTGTTCAGGGTTTTGACGAAGAAGTCTGACCATCTCATAGGTGGGCGACCACACGTCCTTTTGATGTCCCATGGAATCCAGTTGGTAATAGCTCTAGTCCAGCGGTCGTCTCTAAATCGTATTACATGCCCGGCCCATCTGATTTTTGATGCCTTGGCAAATGACACAGCGGTCCTGATTCTTGATCGTTGACGGAGGTCGGAACTCCGGATTCCTTCTCTCACTTGAGTGAAGCGTGATACTCCAAGCATAGCTCTTTCGATTTCTCTTTGGGTGATCCGAATAGCGTTCTTGTCCTGTTTTCGTAGGGCCCAGGTCTCTGAAGCATATGTTAGTGCAGGAAGAATGGTGGAGTTGAAAAGATGTGCCCGAAGCCAGAGGTTCTTTGTCCTCTTAACAACTTCTTCGATGCTCTTGAAGGCGTTCTACACCCCTCTCTTCCTCCCGTGCAGTTCTGGCGCCAAGTCGTTCCTCATGTTGCATTCTCGACCCAGAGAACTGCTGCATTGCGAGATGTTCATTCCATTGAGAGCAAATGGAACGCCAGGGACTAGTTCGTTTTTCATGAACATTGTCTTGGTGAGATTCAGCTGCAGTCCGACCTTTCCACACTCACAGTCGAAGTCGGCCAGCATTTGTGCTGCTTGGCTAATGTTTGGTGTTACTAGAATGATGTCATCAGCAAAGCAGAGGTGGTGTAGTTGCCGACTGTCTATCTTCACTCCCATTTCTTCCCATTCCAGTTGTCGCATGACGTTCTCGAGGGTGGCACTGAAGAATTTCAGTGAAATGGTATCACCCTGCTGAACCCCTCTCTTTACGTTGATGATCACTTCCTTGTAGATTGGTGGGATCCTGATGGTGAATACATAAGACAGCTTAATAAGGATCCTGATGTACTGAGTTTGAACGCCCTGTTTGGCTAGGGCTTCGATGACCGCTACAGTCTCAACAGAATCAAAGGCCTTCTTTAAATCAATGAACGTCAGACAGAGCCGCATCTTGAACTCTTGCGAAACCTCAATGAGCTTGGTCACCTTGTGGATATGGTTGATCGTGCTGAATCCTTTTTGGAACCCGGCTTGCTTGCATGATGTCTAGTGTTCTGCCTGTTCTATTCAGGATGACTTGAGTGAAAAACTTTTAGACAACAGACAACAGGCAGATCGGGCAATAGTTGCCGATGTTGTGGATGTTTCCCTTCTTGTACAACAGAACAGTCCTGCTGGTTTTCATTTGGGACAGAACCCTGCATTCAGACAGGTAGCATGTGAAGAGCTGAGCCAGTGTATTGATGAGTACTGGTGGCAGATTCTTCAGGTGTTCGGGTCTGACCTTGTCTGGACTGGGTGCTGTATGCTTCTTTACCGATGAAATGGCGTGTTGGATTTCAGAAGGGAGAACATTGGGAATGACGTATCCATCCTGCAGAATTTGGCATGTGGGCAGGTGGACGTGGCTATCAAAGAGATCTGAGTAGAAGTCGTGGATAATCTTCTCTGTTGCCCTTCTGGAAGATGTGATTGAGAATGATGTAAGGATGTCGGAGGGCAGTCATCTTGGTCTTGTAGCTGGCGTTGTGAATACTTTTCCTGGCTTCTGCCGCATCAGCCAACACTGCAGCTCTTCTCTCTTTGAGGTCTTCCTTTATCGCTTCTCTGCACAGCTTTGTGGGCTTGGACACTGGCTTGTGATTGCCTGTGGCTTGTGCCGTACCACGTAGGTGAATGAGCTTGAGAGTTTCCAAAGACAGGTGTCTTTTTGTGGCTTTCTCTCTCTCTCTCGGCATTCCTTGCACAATCATGGAGGTGCTGAACCAGTTGAATGTATTCCTCGTCGATGTTGTCAATAACGTCATCTTCCCATGTTGCCGCAATAGTGCCAAAGAGCTCCCAGTTGGTGGTCATTCTGGGAGTTCTCTTCTTAAACTTTGCAGTCCTTTCTCCCCGCTCTGTGAAGTAGAATTTTGCACAAAGGAGACGGTGGTCAGATCCCGTTTGGAATTTTGGGACAACAGCGACATTGGTCAGGCAAAGAATCAGGCAACAGAATCAAAGGCCTTCTTTGATTGAACATGATGTGATCAATTTCATTGTGGAACTCGAGGGGCCCAGAAGGACCTAGAAGGGCCCAGAAGAGCCTAGAAGGGCCTCCAAGGGTTTGGGTAGCCTCAGGATGGTCTGCGTGGAGCAAACGTTGGGCTGTAGCATGTGGTTCAGGGGAAGGGACAGACCCAGTTGGGTCCACAGAACCTCTTGTGGAGCAAGCAGGGCCCATCGCCGGCCAGGGGCCACACGGTGAGGCCTCAGTCCTCGCACTCATTAGGAAGCAGGTGACAGACGCCATGACAGAGCCTGCCTCCCTCCCTGTCCCCACAGGTGGCCACTGTTCCATCGTGTCCGTCTCTCCAGACGCACCAGCCATGTCCTGCAGCCCCCATGCTCTCTGCCCAGACAGACGCCCCCCCGTGGGAGTCACCCCTGGTATGGGAGCACAGAGGGAGAACCCCCCACCAGTGCCCGCTGTGCTGCCCTCCCTGGAGTGGGGGCGCATGTGGGACCCTTTCCCGGGATGTCTGCCACCCCTACCCCCAAGTGTTTCCAGATGTGCCCTGGGGGTGTGCCCACCAGAGTTCCCACCCGGGGGCCCCACTCAGTGTCCGCGTGCTGCAGGAGTGGGCAGGCCGGGTCTCTGTCCACCTCTCCACTTCCGTGTCCCCATCCCCAGCAGGGCCCTTGACCGCAGGAGAAACAGCGGCCGTGGGGGGCCGTGGGGTCAGCCGGGCCACAGACCACCCCCACCCCCAGAGCGCTGGCCTGGCCTCGGCCCGAGTTCCGGGCTCTGGGGGCAGCTTCTCGCTTTGGCTGATTGTTCCCATCTCCGTCCCTTGCTGCGGGGGCGGGGGACACTGTCCTCACCCCAGTCCAGACGGAGTTCTGACCCATCTCCTGCAGGCCATCCCCCTCCCTCGGGGCTCCCCAATCCCCAGAGGTACCCTCAGCTGCATGTGGCCCCCCACACACACACCAACCCCAGGCTGGCCCGGGCCGGGCTGGGGTGACCATGTGGCCCGCTGTGGCCACCCACCTAGGAGGCCCCTCGGTGTCTGGGGTCACGGGTGGTGTCCTGGCTGGCGCAGATGTGCAGGACCTCCCCATCCGTCCACCCAATGCCCCGCCTGTGTTGGGGTCTGCAGTGGAACCGTCGGGGCTGGTGCCGTGGCCACAAGCTCAGGACTCTAGACGGAGCATTGCAGAAGCAGCTAAGCGGGAATCATGGCTGGTGCCAGGGCCGGGCCAGCAGCCAGGAGCCGCCAGCGGCCTCCGTCCGGGACGCCGTCCAGGCCTCGCTCGTCCTGGCGCTGCCGGGCCCCAGCTGCGGCCCGCAGAGACACCGCGTGTCCTTACGTAACCGCTCACGGGGTGCGGGGCCCCACAGGTGCAGGGGGGCAGCTGTGACTCCCGGCCCCAGCCCTGCACCAGGCCCGCAGCCAGGCAGCCCCCCGCCCCCCTCGCCCCCTCCCCCTTCACCCCTGCCATGTGGGAAGAGAGTGTCATGTGACAGCAAGGGGCCTCCCCTCTCCCAGTCTGGGTGGGTCATACCCCAGGGCCACCCAGGGTCCCTGTCCTCGCCCTGAGCTGCAGCTGCTTCAGTTTTCCTTCGGGACAGGGAGGGGTGTCTCTGACTCGCTCCCCAGTGGGTGACTGCCCGGGTCACTTTCGAGGGTCCCATCCTGACCCGGACCCCTGCCCCTGATCCTTGGCACACAGCTCTGTACCCCCTCCATGACCCCTGACCTCTCGCGTCTTCTGGGGTGAGGTGGGATCGGCCACCAGCATGTCACCCATTTCCCTGCCCCCTCGTCCATGCTGTTTCCTACGGTTCTTAGTCAGGACAGGTCTGGGCAGTGAGCTGTGGGGGTGCAGCCCCGCCCTGGCGGGCACCCAGCTCTGTATCAGGACCCTCAGCTGAGGGACATGCAGGAGTACCCGGCCGGGCTCTGGGCTGTGTCCAGGGTACCCTGTCTGGTCCCTGTCTTGCTCAGTCCTGGGTCTGGTGTTTTCCTTCATCTGCTCAAGGCAGGGGTGGGATGGGGGAGGGGAGGCAATGGGGGGAGGATCTTGCCAAGATCATGAAACGGGAGATGGCCTTGGGAGGTCAGGCCTCCCTGCTGGCAGTGTGGGGGCAGGTGTGTGGTTGGGGGCACCATGTTACCACACCCCCAACCCCTGTCAGTGTGGGTTTGAGGAGTTGTTTTTTTTTTTTTTTTTTTTGCTTTTTGGGTCACACCCAGCGATGCTCATGGGTTACTCCTGGCTCTGCATTCAGGAATCACTCCTGGCGGTGCTCGGGGGACCCTATGGGATGCTGGGAATCGAACCCGGGTCGACTGCGTGCAAGGCAAACACCCTACCCGCCATGCTATTGCTCCAGCCCCAGGTTTGAGGAATTTGAAAGTTTCTCTTCCCACCTTTCGGCTTGTCCAGATTTGGGGGGCCGGCCCCGTGCCGCGCCCCTTGGTGGAGCTCCCGTGTTCGGCCCCACAGAGAGCTGGCCACTTGTGACACAGGGGTGAACCCAAACCCAGAGACTGTGGCGAAGGGCCAGCCCCCTCAGGGTTTCACCCATTCCGGCTGGCTGTGTGGGTGGGCGGGCGCTCCCTGGGGGCTTTCCCGAGCGGTCAGGCCACTGAGGCCGGCTAGAGCACCCACCGGCCCGAACAGAGGGCAGAGACACGGCAGGGACAGCGCGGAGCCTTGGCGGCCTTTATTGCAGGTTTGTGCCATTACAAGGCGATCTGGGAATATGTTCGAATAAAAAAAACAACGGCCCCTCCCTGTTAGGTACATGGGACTCGCCCCCCAGGACGCTGAGGGGTGCTGAGGTAACAGGCACACACGCTCCCCGCCCCGTGCACCCAGGAGAGGTCTCCCCAGGCCCGGGGCCTCCTGGTGGCCTGAGGGATGCCCGTGGCCCCACAAGGGATGGCCAGTTCTGCAGGGCATGGGGGTGGGGGGGCCGGGAGCGCCGAGGCCCCAGTTGGCCTGAGACGTGGGGCCTTCCGCTGCCCCCCCTCCCCCGGGTGACTGGAGTCAAACATCTGGCAAAGTGTCGGCTATTATTTCTGTGAAGGCTAAACTCGCAGGCAGGCTAACGTGAAGGCAGAGTAACAAAACGACTGTCCGCCCCTCTGCAGGCGGGCCCGTGCAACAGTGAGGCGGGGCGGAGCAGTGGGCAGCACGGAGGGTGGCCACCGACCTGGGAGCTGGGCTCCGTAGGGACTGGCGCTCGGAAGGCCGCACGGCGGGGCCAGGGTGAGCCCAGGGTGGCAGCTGAGTCCTGAGAACGGGGAGGACGGAGAGAAACGGACAGGGAGGGGGGTCTGGAGATTTGACGAGGCGCCAGAGGGGACTCCTGTGCCAGAGAGCCACCGTGTGAGGGCTGAGTGTGGCGGCCGCTGGCCCTGACGGCCTGGACGGACACAGGGACACCGAGGGTCGGGCTCGACATGGGAGCCACACGTGTGGGCCACACGTGTGGCGGTGAGGAGGAAGACTCCTCCACAGGGGCAAAGCGGGGCCCGACTCCACGTCTGGACCCCCAAGTTCGTGCGCTCCTGGGTGCCCACGGAGACCCGCACTGACCAGGTGGTCACCGGGCGTGTGTCTGCATCACATCCCACCCTCCGGGAGGGGTGGGCCAGGCTCAGGGCTCGTGCCCAGGCCGAGCGTCACCTCGCTGAACCCGCCGGCCAGCCCCGCCTAGTCTGTGGACGCGACGGGGACGGAGATCACGGTGGACATGCCACTGTCGTGGGCGGCGGGGCCCGGCAGCCAGCCCCGCCCCTGCTGCAGTCGGTCCCTGGGCGTGCTGGGGGGGGCCGGCGTGGTCCGGGGCGGGGAGGGGGGAAGCGGGGCTCAGTGGAAGGTGTTGGGGTTGGGCCGGATCATCATCACCACCTTCTTGAGCGAGTAGGAGCCGCCCCGGAACTCGGCCCAGTAGACGCCGTCCTGGTAGCGGCTCCGGTAGTGGCCGCCTCGGTACCAGACGCCGTTGAGGTTGGAGTGGGCGCAGGCGTTGTACCACCAGCCTCCTTTCTGGTAGTGGGCGCAGTTTCCTGCAGGGGAGACAGAGGGAGGCTCAGCCGGGACCCCGCTGCCTTCTTGCAAGGGGGGGGGGGGCGCGGGGCAGACTGGGGATCCCTGCTCTGGGACAGTGCCCCGAGCACAGGCAGAAGGGGACCCTGGCCTTGTCAGGCGTCAGTGTGGGGGGCTGGGGCCGGAGCGATAGCACAGTGGGGAGGGCGTTTGCCTTGCACGCAGCCGACCCGGATTCGATCCCCGGCATCCCATATGGTCCCCCGAGCACCGCCAGGAGTGGATCCTGAGTGCAGAGCCAGGAGTGACCCCTGAGCATCGCTGGGTGTGACCCAAAAGACAAAGAAATGTGGGGGGCTGCATGAACTTGGGCGGGACTGTCCAGGTGCCTCTCTCACCGCCTCTTGTCTTCCCACCTCATCTCCCAGACCCATCTGTGACCAGTCCCTGCACACACTTTCTTCCGGGGTTTTGCTATGTGGCTTAGAGGCCAAGGGGACCCCAGGGTCCCACAACTGGGCTGCAGGTCAGCGGCCGAGGATGCAGCGCCCAGTAATCACCGTCCGCTTTTGACCACACAGATTTCCGGGGACACGAGTGGAGGGAGGAGCCCGCGGGGGAGGGGTGTGGCTGGGCCGAGCGCCCCTTCACAGAGCCTTTGCCCGACTCTGCCCTGGGGCACCTCCTCTGGGACCCCCCTCCCCAGTCCCACTCCCCGCCAGGCAGGGCTTGCATTAGTGCCGGGTGGGGAAACTGAGGCTCCAGGAGGCCTCCAGGGGCCACAGCGCCCGTACCTGTGTAGACATCATGGTCCCTGTCCAGCGTGGTGAACTGCTTGCCGTTGTGCCAGGTGAAGGAGTCGCCGGCGTTGCCGTGGTAACGGCCCAGCCGCAGTTTGTAGTAGTCGCTCTCGGGCTCCAGGCGGAAGCTGGCGTACTCGGCGAACACCTTGCGGCCCGACCAGTCCTCCATGGTCACCAGCAGCTTGTAGTTGCCTTGGTTGGTCAGCCAGTAGATGTTCTCCAGGCCCAGCCAGTACTCGCCATCAATGTTCCCGAACCCTTGCTGCATGAGGGTGGAGGGGGGGAGAAACGGGGCACGCCCAGGCATGGGGGCTCTGTCCTGGACAGAGATCTGGCCGGCGGGATGGGCCCCCTGCCCTGCCTTCCCGCCAAACGGGTGTGGGTGCCGCCCCCAGGACCCAAGGGGGCGTGTGCAAGGAGAGCCGGGGAAGGACCCTCCTGCTCCATCCAGGGTGGCCGTGAGGGGGGTCCCCGGCCGAGTCTCGGGCTACACAGTCCCCTGCGCCCACGCCCCTTCGCAGCCCCAATGACGGTCAGAGCCGAGGCTGGACACTGGTCCCCGGGGACCCGAGAGCCAGCAGGGTAGCAGGGCCGACCCAGAGCCAAGGCGAGACGGCGCAGGGCTTGGGTGACCGGGCTCACCTTGTAAGTCTCCCAGTTCCGGAAGAAGTTGACAGAGCCATCCAGGCGCCGCTGGATGACCGTCCAGCCCCCAGGGTCCTGCCGCTGCTCACACCAGACCTGCATCAGGCGGTTGGTGTTCTCGGGCTTCACCAGGTAGATGGAGCTGGTGTCGTGGCCGTCCTCCAGCGCCTGTAGGCAGTCCCGCCAGGGGCCTGGGGGGGGACAGCACGTCCGGTCATGCGCCTTCCTGCTGCCCCGCACCAGCCCCCTCCCTGGGAAGCCCCACCCCACCCCAGCCCCCCAAGTGCGCCAGGACCCAGGGCTGCTCCGGCTGGGACGGGACCCAGACGGGGACGTGGAGGCCCGGCGGATTCGCAGGTGGTGATGAGCTGTCACGTTCTCTGTCCGTCCCCACACTCAGGGAGTCAGAGTGGGAGGCCCCCAAAACACAGGCACAGCTGGGGCAGGGTTGGGGGAGGGGCGCAGGACCCCCCCCCCATCAGGCTGATCTCTGCACACACACACCTCCCAGGCCCCAGCGGGCACAGAGCTCTCAAGGAGCGCAGGAAAGGGCTGGAGGCCCGAAGACATTTATGGACCCTAAAATATGAAAAGCAAACTATAAAGTCGGAATTTATAAGTATATAATTGCGTTTCTGCTAAGCCGAACATCTTGTCAAGCTCATTAACTGTGAAATTTAGCCTTCATAAAAAAATGTTACTACTTTTGAAAAGAAATGTGTGGGCTAGGTGTTTTTTTTTTTTTCCCTCCTTCTCACTTCCCAAGAATTCCTGAACGTGCCCTCGTGTTGGCTGAGAGCTCGGGGCCAACCCGAAATTAATTGCGTTGCTCTTGGCCAGATTATTTCAGAAGCAAAGTTATTAAAGCCCTGGCAGGCCTCGGGTGGTGCTGGGTGCCGGTGGCGGGCAGGGCGGACGCGTTTCTGGGTCTCTGATATGCTCCCCTCCCCCACCTCTGGGAGATCTGGGGGCGTGGGTGGAGCATTGGAGTGCTGGGGGGGGCCTGCTCCCCCCCCGTGTGTCGCCTCAGGACGTCTGAGCAGCCCGTCCTCTCTACACTCTCCACCAGGCTCTTGGGACCGGAGCAGAAAGGGGGCCCGGGAGGCAGCTTGAGAAAGGAAGGAGCTTAGGCTGGCGGGGCCTTGGGGGGCCCAGGGCTGCTGGGAGGGGAGTGGGGGCTCCAGCAGGTGGCCCGCTGTTGGGGTGGGGGCAGTGGTCTGTACGTGGCTCGGGGACAGGGCCTCCAGCCGAGGCCGCGCCCTGGACACCCGTTGGCGTGCCGACCGACCCCCAGCTCTTTCTGGGAAGGGCCCCGGCTCACGCCTGGGCCCGTGTTCCTAGAAGCTGCCTCCGCGGCCTGGATCTTCTCTCCGATCTCGCTGGGATGTGGCCAGCCGCCAGGTGCTGTGGCATTTCTAGGATTCTTGTCATCTCTCCCTCCCTCCCTCCCTCTCTCGCTCGGAAAACGCTCAGCATCTGTGCCCGACGTTAGTTTCTCGCCCGAGTCTGTGTGAGGGTCCTGTGCCAACCTCCCGGGCCTCGCGGGGAGGGGGGCGGCCGTCCCCCGGGCTCTGATACAGGCTCTGTGTCTGGCCTTCACCTCGGTGAGGTGCCCTGCACAGTGGACTGGGAGGCAGACGGGTGTGTGTGTGGCGGGGGGGAGGGGGGGCCTATCTCCCTGTCACTCTGGGGCTCCTTTGCAGCGGGAGGGGTGGGGGCAGGTGCGAGTGTGAGGGTCTCCAGGCCCCTGCGCCCCCGCTCCTGGCTGCTCCCAGTACCCACCCCCTCCCCTGGCCCCCGTCACCCTCTCCTTCCCAGTTTGAGGACCAGTGATCCTGCGTCTGCCTGGCGGGGGGGGGGGGGCTGAGCGACCATGGAAGGCTCTGCCTGCCCCCCCCCACACCGGCACACACTCCAGGACCCTCGTCTCCCCCCACCTGAGGACTCAGGCGCAGCTGTTCAGTGGGTCATGTTTCGCCCAAATCCGCCCAGCAAAGTTTCTCTCTGTCCAAACTTCAAAGGCTCTATTTAAAAACTCAAGTCAAGGGCTGGAACGATAGTACAGCGGGCTGGGGGCTTGCCTTGCAGGGGGTAACCCAGGTTCCATTCCCAGCACCCCCTAAGGTCCCCCCAAGCTCCACCAGGAGTCATCCCTGAGTTGAAGAGCCAGGAGTAAACCCTGAGCACCAGGGGAGGAAAAAAAAAATTTTTTTTTTTTAATCTAGTGGGGCCTGGATCGATAACAAAACAACTAGGGCACTTGCTTTGCACACAAGTTTGACCCTGGTTCCATCCCCAGCATGCCCTGTGGTCCCCCAAGCACTGCCAGGAGTGATGCCTGAGGACAGAGCCGGGAGGAACCCCTGAGCATCGCCGGATGTGGCTCAAAAACCAATGGAACATTCTAGTAAGAAGTTCCCATTGGTTAAAACCTGAAGGACATGAAGCCATCCAAGTCTGGGGCCAGTGTGAGACCAAGGCCAGGTTCTGCTCCCCTGCACCCAGAGGAAAGGCAGGGCTGTCCCCAAGGTGCCCTGGGTGGTGGTGGCCACTGCCCTCTCCATCCTTCCTTGAGGCTGGGCGTGCCCTTAGAGCAGCCCTGGCCCCTGCCCACCTGGTTCTGCCCACTTCGTTGCTTTCTCCCCTGTGGAGCGCTCAGGTGTGGCACTGCCCTGTGGGCACCCGCTCCCCAACAGTCCTGTTACTTACGGCTGAGGGGTGGGGGCAGGGGCAGGGGTGGCCATCGGGAGCCTTAGCTCCCTGGCGTTTGAGCCTGCCAGGGGCCAAACTGCCCGACTGCAGGCCGCCAAATGCCAGGTCTGGGCGTTTATCAGTGACCAGCTGGGAGCCTGTCTCCTGTCTTCCCGGGGAAGGCTGAAAAGGCAGCTGTGGGGGGAGGAGGGGGAGGAGGAGGAGGAGGAAGAGAAGGAGGAGGAAGAGGAGGAGAAGAGGCAGGAGAAAGAGGAGGAAGAGGAGAAGGAGGAAGAGGAGGGGAGAAGCAGGAGGAGGAAGAGGAGGGTGCAGCTGTTGGAGGGGCGTTGTGTGTGTGTGGGGGGGGGGGGGCTCTGGCGCCCTGCTAGATGCAGCGGCCGACTTCGAGCTCTCTGACATCTCCCCGGATCACGTCGCCCCTCAGGAATCTCGTGCTGCTCAACAATAACATTCTCGAATACGGCCGGACAGCGGCAGCTCTGGTCTCCCAGCTCCCGAGCCTGCGCACACGGGCCTGCTGCCCTGCCCCCGTCCCTCCCGTCCCTGCGGAGGGCTGCTGCGGAGGGGCCAGGGACCTGCGGAGGGACCAGGGAGACTCATCCCAATTTGAGAGCACACTGCAGCGGGCCTTTTCAGGAAGGCCGGGAGGGCTGGGTTCTCTGCAAGACCCTGCACCCGCCCCACCCCCGCACCCCAGTCACCCAGTCTGTTCTCTCGGTTCCCGAGATCCCTGCAGAGCACGGCGAGCCCTTCGCGGGGAGGCTGGAGCTGGCCCTCGCCAGCACCATTTCTTCCTGAGCCGAGGGCCACCATACAGCGGTCAGCGTGCCGGGGGACAGGACACCCAGAGATTCCCGTCCCCGCTGGTTCTTAAAGGAATTTCCAGAGCAGCCCTCCCCCGGGCCTTGGCACAGGCTTTATCCGAACTGAGAAGACCCGAGGCCCCGCCAGATCCCAGTGGTAGGACAAAGCCCAGACAGAGACGGGAAGCAGGGGGCTGCCTGGGCCTCCCTCTCCCCCGGTGGCCTGTGGCCAGCCTCCCGGACCAGTGCCTGCTGCCCTCCCCCCCCGCCACCCCCCCCCCCCCCCCGGGAAGATGGGCTGGGGCCGGGGGAGCATCAACATCAAGGGAAGGCAGGACGGCTGGGGGTGGTGGAATGTGAGCTCATGCCTTGCCAGGGCGCTCCCCGCTGAGTGACGTCCCCCAGGAACAAAGCCCGCCGGGCCAGAAGTGCACAGAGGAAGGTTTTGTCTCCCAGGAGCCTCACCTGCCCACAAGCTCCGGGAACAGACCCGAGAAGGGCCCACGCCGCCTCCTGCCTCTCCCCGTCCCTGTCCTGGTCCTAAGGGCCAGCACCACCATCTACCAGACGCTCAGGTGTGCACCGTGAGCAAGAGGGGATGGCGGGCCCCCCGGCCCCGTGGGATACGAGGACTGGGATGTCATGATCGAGGCAGAGAGGCGTCAGGTTCTGGCGTGGGCCCAGATGGTGAACCAAGGCAGGAACCTGAGGTCTGTCTTCCCACCCCGCATCTGCCGGACCGGAAATGGTTGAGTGTGACACTAGAAAGGCTCAGGGGGGAGGGGCTGCAGGGGACACCGCAGAGGCCGCCCCAGTCGCCAAGGGTCTGTGCTGTGGGCACCCGGGGCCTCTGGGTGTGACGCCCAGACTCAAGGGCACAGCACCCTCCTGCCCTCTGCTCAGGGAGACTGGCACGAGAAGGGCTGATCTGGAAACGGCCGTGTCTGCATTTCTGGGCATTGTAACTTAACAGGGCGCCCGGCACTGTGCCGAGCGGGTTGGGTTGTTTTGTTTTGGGGGCCACACCCGGCGATGCTCAGGGCTCACTCCTGGCTCTGCATTCAGGAATTACTTCTGGTGGGACTCGGCACCCCATGGGATGCCGGGGATTGAGCCCAGGTCATGCAAGGCAAGCGCTGTAACCTGCTGTCCTCCTGCTCCCAACCCTAGGCCAGTTTGGGGGATTTTGTTTATTTTGGCAGTGTTTTATTTCATCATCCAGTGCTATTTTAATCCACGGAATCAGAGATACCGTGACTTGCCTCGTGTCCCAGAACAAATCAGGATTTGAATGCAGGCCAGAGAGCTCCCAGATCATGTTCTCAGGGCACATACCCCAGGGATGTTTTCCCTGGGGTGCAGTGAGAGGGGTCTGTCCGGTACCACCACCGGTCCTTGCCACGGGCTGCCCTGCACACAGGCTATCCAGCCCCTCTCTGGGGTTAGCCAGAAGTGGCCCTTCCGGGACCTGCACTTATTATTACTTTTTTTTTTTTTTTAGCCATGCGAAGCACCCGTACAGGGGGAATCTGTTCAGTATAAACACTTTCCGGCTCATCCTGCAGAGTGCTTCCCAGATCCCTGATTCCGAGCAGATGGGAGAAGGAATCTAGCTCTCCCCTGGCCGCCTGTGAGGGCCTGGATGGTGGGGGGTGGGGGGAGGTATAAGGGGGGGGGGTGGCTGCGTCCAGCAGGATGAGGACTGCAGTGCCCCCCAGACTGTGTGCAAAGGAGCCCAGAACTCACACCCGGCCTCACAGTGCCCACCCGACAGCGAGTGAGGGAGAGGGTCGGTCTCCCCATCCCGAGCGTTGCCCAGCACAGGCACAGCCCAGCTCCCAACCCTCCCTGCAGCCTCCTCACAAGAGCCTGAGAGTGGCCGGATTTGCCCCCATTAGAGACCCTGCACCAGAAAGTCTAGGCCCTCCCATTCCAGAAACCGTGTGTGCGCTCTGTAGAGCCCACCGACCGGGGCCAGCGCCGGCCCCCCACCCCGCTCCATCTCAACCTAGGGGTGCTGTGGCAAGCACTTTCCAGGTGCCAACGCACCCCGGGGTCAGCTCAGGCACTGTCCGCCTGCCGGCCCACACACCCCTGCCAGCTCTGAGCATCTAGAAGAATCCAGGGAACGCGGAGCCTGTTCTCTTCCTGCATTCCCCAATTCTTCCCTGCACCACCTTGGAGCCCACCCCACTCCAAGGCATGTGCCCCTTCCCCCCGGGGCTGTCTGCGAGGCCGGCCGCCCTCCCCCCCCACCCCACTTACCCGAGGGCTTGTCCGTGGAGGACGGGAGGCTGGTGAGGGTGGGCATGGTGGGCAGCGGGGGCGGCAGCACCTTCAGGTTCTGGTCGCTCTGGATCTCGTTGGTGGAGATCTGGTTGGTGATGCGGTTGTAGGGGGGCGGGGGGCGCGTAGGCGCGCGGCGGGGCGGCGGGGGCCGGCGGGGGCGGCGGCGGCAGGGGCAGCGGCCGGGCGGGGGCGGCGGGCGCGCGCTGGCAGTGCTCCTCCAGCTGCGCGATGACCTCGGACTGGTTGTGGGCCAGCGTGGCCAGGTGCTGGTACTTGTGCTCCAGGTCGCGGTACTTGCTGGCCAGCTGCAGCATGTCGGCCGTCTGGTTGAGGATGCGGTTCTCCAGCTGCGAGAGCTCGAGCGCGTTGTCGCGCTTGCGGATGATCTCGTGCAGCAGCTGCATGTAGAGCTGCGTGACGCGCGAGTTCATGTTGCGGCTCTCCTTGCGCAGCAGCTTCACCTCGCTCACGATGCCGCCGTCCACCTCCACCAGCTGCTGCAGCGTCTCGATCTGCCGCTTCTGCTTGAGCAGCTCGCCGTTGAGCAGCTCCAGCTCCTGCTTGTGCACGCGGTTCTCCAGCAGCACCTCGGGCTCCTTGGAGTTGACGCAGATGGCGCCCGTCACCCGCTGCTGGGGCACGATGAAGGTGTAGGTGCACTTGTCCGGGGACTCGCCGCCGGCCCGCTTGTACCGGTTCAGGTAGATGAACTCGCCCTGCGCGCCCTCCCGCGCGCCCTCCTCCTGCGCGCCCTCCCGCGCGCCCTCCTGTGCGCCCTCGTGCGCGCCGTCCTGGGGGCCGGTGGCCGCCGCCGCCAGGGCGGCCAGCAGGCCCAGCCACCAGCAGGTCACGCCCAGCGGCCGCATGGTGCTCGGGAAACGGGCGATTCCTTGCAGACGGCGCCTGGGAGAACCTGGAAGTCGGCAGACAAGAGGGCGGGGTGGGGGGCCCCCAGTCAGCCTCCCCCACTCCCCTTGGGGGGCTGCTCAAAAGTGGGGTCCGGGCTTGGGGGTCCTCCCAAAGCGAAGAAGGGGCACCCACACAGCAGGGGGAGGGAGAAGGGAAGGGACCCGGCTCCCGAAGGTGGGCGGCCTGGCTGCTGCCCACTGAGCTCCTGGCCGGGAAACCCGCCACCCAGGGGAGGACCTGACTGTCCCTTATCTGCCCCACGCCCCTCAGCTTGTGGACTCCTCTCTGTAGCTTGTGCACCCCTTTGCGGCGCCCCCTCCCCTCCGTGGGCAGCTGCCGTGTCCGATTCAGCCCCGCACATCGTCCGCCCCCCCCCCCCTCCGTCCCCGCCATCCCCAAGCCGCTGCCCAGGCGTCCAGCACATACTTGTGAAATGAATGAATGGCCGGACCCAGCGTGGAATGTGGCCGTTTTTGCCGTGGACAGCATCCCTGAGAGGCTGCGTCCAGTCACGTGGCCTCAGCCCGCCCGCGTGAGCCAAGCCACACAGCCCAAACAGGAACAAACAACCGAGCCCTTCTGGGGCCAAATATTTGCAGCAGCTCGTAACTGCCTGATCCCGATCCTCGCAACGTGATCAAACCAGGAGGGGAGGCAGGAGTCGGGCACGTGGCCCTGGGTTTGCGCCAGGCCGGGTCTCCCTGGAGCATCTCTGTGTGCCTGGGCCCCCTGCCTCAGGGGGCTTACCCCATGCCCGGAGGGCCCCCAGCACCGCTGTTCCAAACAGCGCAAGGGCTGGGTGGGGTGGCCTGGCCTCCCCGGGGTCAGGACAGCGGCCCTGAGAAAGTCACCTCGCTGACCCCTGCATGAGGTAGTGGGAGGGGCCTGGTCCAGAGGGAGAAGAGAAGACCCCGCCCCAACCCCTGCTTCCTGCCCATCACTGTGATCGCTTCTCTCTCGAGAAAGTCCTCTCGGGGCGTTTGCCTTGCAGGCGGCCGAACCGGGTTTGATCCTCGGCATCCCATAGGGTCCCCCAAGCACTTCCAGGAGTGATTCCTGAGTGCAGAGTCAGGAGGAGCCCCTGAGCATCGCCGGGTGTGACTCAAAAAGCAAAAAAAAAGAAAAAAAAAGAAAAAGAAAGCCCTCTCGGGTTGCTGCTCCACTTCTCTGATGAGCCCTCGTGGCGCTCACTGTGTCCCGGTTCTCTTTGGACCTACCCACTCTGGTCCAAGCCCTTGCCAGCCCCACCCCTGCCGACTAGGCCCCGCCCCTCACCTAAGCCCCGCCCCTACCCGACCAGGCCCCGCCCTCGCCCTAAGCCCCGCCCTTTCCCTTCCTGGCCCCGCCCTCACCGTTAAGCCCCGCCCCTCACTGCCTCTCCTGGCCTTACCCCTGCTTGGTTCCCATCTGCCCTAACCCCTACTCCAAGCAGGATCACCAGGGCGTCCCTTGCCTGGCCAGTGGCCAGCTCTCCACCAGGTCCCTTCCGTTCCACCTTTGCCCCTTCACACTGCCAGGCTGGGGCTCGCTCCTCCCCTGGTGCCACCCCTGCCTCCCCTCTGGCATTTCATTTCAGCTGCTCCATTTCAGTCTCTTTGGCTGCGTTGCCCAGTTCCTGGGGGGCTGGGCGGGGGGAGGGGGTTAGGAGCTCAGTCCTCTTGGTTCTTCCTCCCCAGGGGGTGTGGCTGTGCCTCACCCCCAGACCCTGGTAACAGTGCTCTCTCCCCTCTTGACGGGCCCATCCCAGTGCCCAGCGGCTACTTCCAATCTGCGCAACCTGACTCACCACAAAATGGCCCTCCCAGAGTCACCCCAGCCCAGCTCTGCCCCAGTCCCCGCCTGCACCAGTGGGGGCACCTCGGAGCTCCAGGTTGAGCCGAGCCCTCCCCCTCCTCCTCCTCCTCCTTCCCCTCTCCCCCCCCAGCTTCCCGGCCACCACAGCCCCCTCTCCCAGCACCCCAGCTCTTGCCAGTCTTGTCTGCAGCCTAGCGCCAGAGCGACCTTGCGAGGCTCACTGTGTGTGTGTGGGGGTGTAAGCGTGTCCACCCCCAGCCCCACCCCCAGGCACAGGGTCCTGGGCTAGACGGTTCTGGTTTCTCTCCTCATTGAAGCTGCACAGCCCCCTCCCCCCCCCGCTGATCTGTAACCGTCACCTCCCCCCACCCACCCCTGTTCACCATCACACGTGTGAGCTCTCTCTGCCCCACCGTCCAGGGCTGTAAGCGCCATGAGGTTGCCGGGCACCCAAGGGTGTGTGTGTGTGTGTGTCGAGGGGGGTGTCTGAGTCATCGCTGCATTCTCGGCGCGGACCGTGGCCGGGATCCACGGAGCTCCCTGCATAAGTGGGGACGCATTAGGACACACCCGAGAGTGAGCAGCTGCAAGAGGCGGCAGCGGCCGGAGCCGAGGGCGTGGGCGCTATTAATAGCCGCGTGTGCCACTGTGTGTGCCCCTGTCCTGGGCCCGTGGCAGAACTTGGCTTCTCAGTCACAGGGTCGGTGTCTTTCTAAGGAAACAGACTCCCAGAGGCCCGGGGACCTGCCTCCTGTCACCCAGCCACAAAGTGGCCCGAGCCTGGACGCAACCTGAGGCTCAGACCCTCAGGCCCGCTTGGTGGCTCGCCTAGAAACGCGCGTTCAACGCCCAGCCCATGTGTACCACGGGAGGCTCCCACGCGTGGCTTAGGAATGCATAGTCGGCGTGCGATTCTGGTTATTTGCAGTTAAAAAGAGGAACTAAAAGCCCTTACCACCATCAGCACTTTCTGATTTCACATTGTTTTTCCATAACTGGGCCCGACTTCTCCGGAGTTCCTTTGGGGGCCCTAAGGAGGGGCTTGGGTGCAGGCTGCACCTGGACCCAGGGGGGGCTTGTTTCCCCCCAACGCTGGGAGAGCCCAGCCCAGGCCTCGAGGGCAGGGTGCAGGGACGCGTTGTCGGGAGCCCTGGAGTCGGGGCGGGTCTGGCCAGGGCCTCCAGGTAGGGCCGCGTGAGGTGGCGCTGCTGGAAGCCCGGCCGCGTTTGTGAGTGTTTGCCCGGTTTCCACAGCACTGGGGCGGGCCTGGGGCTTCGAGAACAATGGGAGGAGCGCCCTCCCGGCGGGGGCGGCCTGGCCAGCTTACCTGCTGTTCCCCTCACCTGCCGCCAGCCGCCAGCCCGTCCCCGCCGCACGCCAGGGCTAGTGCTGAAGATGCTGCCAAAGGCCTGGCAGGCAGCTTGGTGGCACCCGAAAAGGGCCGATTGCAAACCTCTCCCCCAGCCTCGGGGTGGGGGGGGGGGCTGTGTCTCCCCAGACAGAGCAGGGCTCTCTTTGAAGACCATTTCTTGCAACCGTTTTTTAGTTTTTGTTTTGCTTTTTTGGGTCACACCCGGCGATGCACAGGGGTTACTCCTGGCTCATGCACTCAGGAATTACTCCCGACGGTGCTCGGGGGACCATATGGGATGCTGGGAATCAAACGTGGGTTGGCCACGTGCGAGGCAAACGCTCCAGCCCCTCTTGGCAACGGTTTGGTCAAACTGCGAACCAGAGAGGACCGTGAGCCTCATGCTTCTCCCTGGTGGCACCACACCAAACTGGGTGGGGGTGGTCTGGGGCCGGTGGCAGGGCGAGGGGGCTGCAGTGGTGCCCGTGGGAGGCCACCCCAGCCTGGTTCCAGCCACCGGCTCGGCATCCACGGGTTCTGGGTTCTGAGGAGGGAGGGAGGGGCAGAGAGCCCAGCTCAGGCACCTGCCATGCCCTGAGTCAGGGACCCCAGCGAGGCTGCCGTTGCCGCATTTTTTTTCTTTTTGGGTCGCACCTGACGATGCACAGGGATTACTCCTGGCTCATGCACTCAGGAATTACTCCTGGAGGTGCTCAGGGGACCATATGGGGTGCTGGGAATCGAACCCGGGTTGGCCGCGTGCAAGGCAAACGCCCTCCCCGCTGTGCTATCACTCCAGCCCCCCCACATTGCCCTTATTGACATCCAGGCAGGGATGCAGCTGGGGACCAGAGCCGCCCGCTGAGCCCCCCCCCCACCTTCCCCGAGCCTGACCCAGGGCCTCGGCCTTCCACTCAGTTATTTTTCTTAGAGATTCCACCCCCCCCCCCTCAGTTTTGTGCTAGTTTGGCAGTTCTTGATGGGCAGTAATGAGTTTGTTTACTTTTGCTCTCTTGGTATTTATTCAACTAATTGCATCCCCAGGGACAGCGCCTGCCTCCAGCATTCCAGTCAGCTGAGGCCCGAGAGGGCCCCCGCTCCAGTCACAGCCGTGCGGCTCCGGCCTCGGTTTCTTCCTTTGACCAACAAAGCCAAAGCAGGTCCGACTGTTTTCCTTGGCTCCGGGTCGAAAATCGACATGGTTTTCTTGAAAATGGCTTTTCCACATTGTTCTATGAGGCGTTTCCATCGTGCGCAGGGTTCTCCCCCATCCCCCTCGGCCGCCACCACGTGGGGCTGTGCGACTGGCACATGGGATGGCCGGGCCTCCCTTCCCTGGGCCGGGGTCCCCTGCAGCCCCCCCACAGGCCTCCCTAACCCAGGGCCGAGCAGGACCACACACGGCGCGCCCGCCCGGGGACGGCACTGGCCGAAAGCGTGAAAGCAATGAGCGCCGTGAGCATGGGACCGAGCACAGCCGATGCCTCCTACGGCGGGACTTCGGTCAGACCCTGGTGGTGGGGGTGCACATCGGGTCGCATCCCCCACCCCAGCTCGCGGCCCCAGACCCTGCACCCTCCTGCTCTGAGGTGAACTGCGGCTTCCTTGCTCCTAGAGTTCTTCCTTCCTTCCTTCCTTCCTTCCTTCCTTCCTTCCTTCCTTCCTTCTTTCCTTCCTTCCTTCCTTCCTTCCTTCCTTCCTTTCTCTCTTTCTCTCTCTCTCTCTTTCTCCTTCCTTCCTTCCTTCCTTCCTTCCTTCCTTCCTTTCTCTCTTTCTTTCTTTCTTCTTCTTTTTGGGTCGTACCTGGCGATG